TGATTATGTAAATCTCAAATATATATATTGTTTTTGTTTTGTGTTTAGCATCTGCAATAATTTGAATGAAAAAGCGCACCCCCCTCCCCCCCCCCCTCCCAACCAACCCTGCTTTGAAAAGTTTTCGTTTTGTGATAGACAACATGATGATCTACTGGCCTACTTGTTCTGTAGCATGCTACACCTTAAGGCTTAAGCTATTCACATAAATCAAAAGAATGTAACAGCTGAGTAAATTCAATATCATGCGTTGCCCATATTCCTCCGTTATATAGAATGTCATGAGGCCGTGACAATTTCNTTTTTTTATTAATTGTTTATGTAAATTTCAAATAATTATATTTTTTTTGTTTTGTGTTTACCATCTGCAATAATTTTAATGAAAAAGCGCCCCCCCCCCCCCCCCCCCCCTCCCAACCAACCCTGCTTTGAAAAGTTTTCGTTTTGTGATAGACAACATGATGATCTACTGGCCTACTTGTTCTGTAGCATGCTACACCTTAAGGCTTAAGCTATTCACATAAATCAAAAGAATGTAACAGCTGAGTAAATTCAATATCATGCGTTGCCCATATTCCTCCGTTATATAGAATGTCATGAGGCCGTGACAATTTCGCTGTTGTGTAACCTCCATACGTCACCTGCTTGATATTGGCGTATTTTTATCCGTGGTATTTTTAGGTCATCACCCTTGATATAGACCTAAATTAATCATTTATTTCAGTGTTCCGACCACATTATGCTCGTCATTTTGGGTAACATTTACTGACGGGCAACAATTTGAACTTATTCCGAGCGACGGTTTATCTTTAGATCAGTCTATTTATTCAAGATTTCGTGCGAGATGGCATTTTACGTCATGGTCAAAAGGTCTCTCTTGACAGGTGCAAAATGTCTCCCGTGACATGTGCAAAAGGTCTCTCTTGATAAGTGCAAAATGTCTCACGTGACATGTGCAAATGGTCGCTCGTGACATGTGCTAAAGGTCTTCCGTATGAAGTGCAAAAGGTCTCCCGTATGAAGTGCAAAAGGTCTCCCGTATGATGTGCAAAAGGTCTCCCGTGTTGCATGCAAAAGGACTCCCGTATGATGTGCAAAAGGTCTCCCGTGTTGCATGCAAGAGGTCTCCCGTATGATGTGCAAAAATCTCCCGTATGATGTGCAAAAGGTCTCCCGTATGATGTGCAAAAGGTCTCCCGTATGATGTGCAAAAGGTCTCCCGTATGATGTGCAAAAATCTCCCGTATGATGTGCAAAAGGTCTCCCGTATGATGTGCAAAAGGTCTCCCGTATGATGTGCAAAAGGTCTCCCGTATGATGTGCAAAAGGTCTCCCGTGTTGCGTGCAGGAGATCTTCCCTGTATGTGAATCCACAGTCGTCTTAGTATCCCAGCAGCATTATTCTGTTCACCCCTTTGTATCTTTTTATGTGGCCAAAGTTTACTGAAGTAGCCCCCTGGTTCATTTTTTTAAAAATTTTATCTTGCATTGTGCTTATAAAGATGTGTGACTTGACTAACAGATTTGCTGATTAAACTTAGGAGTGTCTTTTTTAAAAAAAAATCTCCTCTGTTACATTGCGTCTTATAAATACCGTTCTAACCACAATACTACTACGATTGCTTTTTTTTTTTTTTCACCGTTCTATGAATTCAAAATGATATCGGTGATGCATTAGTATATGCCTTCTTTCCTTGAAGTTGGTTTTAAACTTATTTTGGACAGTCTGTGATTACATTTGGCGACCCGTTTGAACCCGTCTTGATGCAATAGCCGTGCCACTTGTTGTTGATCTGTGTCGGGAATCCGAACATCGTAGCGTCTGGCACGTAAGGTAAGAAGTGAGGTTGATCGATAACACAACTGAAGGCAGTGTAATGTCAGGCTCTCACGC